AAAAAAAAAATTATAATGTGGAAGATGGACTGATTGTTCCAGTTCGGGATAAATAGTCTTCACACCTGGAATAATAAAGAGAGTGACTACTTCTCTACAGAAAAGAGGTGGTAATCTCTCCTGGCATAGTATGCATAAGATACCCTATAAAATGAGAAAAGATATTCAGAATCATTTAGAAAAACAGCTCTGCTCTAACTGAAAGACCTTGATAACTTTCACAGCCCAAAGGTTAACACTGGATACTGAACAGAATCATCACAGATTAAGAAAGGGGAAAAATTTTTTTCCAAGACATCACAGATAGGAAGCATCTTTATTGATATGTAGCTATCCTTCAAGGATAACATTTTAGAGAAAAATGTAAATTATGAGGATTTCTACACTATTTTTAAATTTAATATTACAAGACTGGGTTAACCACTATGTTTCTCTCACTATATTCCACACCTGGTTTCATTTTATTTAGTTTATAGTTTCTCCCTTAAACTAGCAGAGATATAAAACAGGCATAAAGATTCCATTCCTTCTAAAGTTGGGGATATGGAGGAATACAAATCACCTTAAGTATTTCTGAAATAACACTGCTGAATTTGTTCATTAAACAGCAAAACACAAAAAAACAAACAACAAAAAACCGATTGATTCTTTGGACTTTTTTTGGCAGGATGGCGGGGGACTCTTTTAACTTAGAGTTATTTGCTCTTATTTCTCAGCTCCACTATTCTGATTGAGTAAGTGTCTAAATAGAACTTGTATCATTCCTGGCTTCAGATTTCACTCACTCAAGTGAACACTGGGATATAGCAACAAAAATGGAAATTTGAATTAAGCAGATTGCTAGAGCTCTAGGGATGGGCTTCTCAGGTTTACTGCAATTTGTTCCAGAAAGAAAAACTAAAGAGAGGTAGGTAGACTACCAGAGTATCTGAATTAAGGGAAAGAAATCAACATTAGCTGTATCATACTGAGGAGACAAGAAGCTAAAAACAGTTTTTCTTCCCATAATTTTTACTACTTACAATAAAAAGTTAATTCAGTTAATTTTAACATATTATTGAACTCAAAAAATATTATTTTCTCAGCCAATAATATAACCACTACCAAAAATTAATATTAAAGTAGAAGTTTTATTGCGTTACATTTTCCAACATTTTAACAAAACACTTCATTCACAATGTGATTTGAAATGGCAGAAAATAGACTACAAGATTAACCCAAAATAAATGAATACTGCTATTTTAATGTTAGCAGTAAGATTTTATATTGCTCAGTAACAGAGAATACGCTTTTAAAAAGTATTAGTATTTCTATTAGATTCATTAATTAAACTCGAAGACCAGGAGTAGTGCCTATATTAAGAAACAACAACAAAAGGAACAGAAAAAAGTAAAATGCGGAACAACTAAGGAACACAGCCAGAGAAATCGGACCGTAAAAATGGCTTACTTTAACGTGGCTCTGGGCTCCAAGGTTGTAGATCTCTGTAGGCTTTACTTCATTAATGATCTTCACAAGGCAGGTACTGTCAGTGAGGTCACCATAGTGCAACTTCATGTCTTTAGAATTCAAAAGCATACCATTAGATAGAAGAAAACACCAGCCCTTTTTTTAAAAAAATATCAAAATTGAAAGGCATATTTTGAAAGTCTGAAAACCACACTGGTTTCAGAGCAGCAGAGTATAACTGTCATCTTTAAAGAACCTAAATGGTAGAAAGATACATTTGTTGCCTGTGTCTGTTTACAAATGCTACAAAGAGGATTTGTAAAAACTCAAATGAACTTTTTTTTTAAATCTTATCAAGACAGATGTTATACAGTTAATGTATCTTACGGTTCCCAGGTAGTTTGTAAGATGTGTTACATAACAGTGAGATTCAGACAAAAAAAAAAAAAACTCACGAAAATGCATATATTGTCTAAAGAACTCTGTAATACACCAGTAATAGTGAATCAGATACTTCTATCTAGCGATTTTAAAGTACTTCATAAACATCAATCCTTAAGCCAACCACGAAATGCCTGATGTAGAGACATAACTGATTAGGACAACTAGCCTATTCTAACCCTAAATCTCAGCATATCCTTACATTGATACATGTAGATAGGTGATTTGCTAGCTTGACATTTTGTTATTTTTACATAAAATTGATCTATGTCTAGACCCAATGGCACTACCATTCTGCACTTTGCACAAAAATGATAATAATTTTCAAGAAGGATGTACTGAATAACCTGAATATTAAGGTAAAGGGCCTTTAGTGGAGACAACTACGTTAACCAAATATTTGGTGCTCTGAAATGAATACAAAATGATTTATGCTTTACATGCTGACTGAATCATCCCTGCCAGCTGGAAAAACTGGACAAGCAAAGCAGGCTGAACTTGGGAGTTAAAAACCCAGGGTCCTGGTCCTAGCTCTGTCTTTTACATGGTATGTGACTTCAATAAGGCTACCACCTCTCTCTGCCTCTATTTCCTCATCTGTAAAATGGTTTCACTCACAAGCTTAGGAGCTGCTATAAAGGGCAAATGAGAAAACACTGTGACTGGGCTATGTAGACTATCTGGCTACATTCAGGCAACCTTATTAAAAATAACATGCAACTGCAAATACTGACAGTGATTTGTAAAGCAATTAAATATAGTTTTGATTGCCACCTGTTTTTGGACCTGTCTTCACAAATTATTTTAAAAATTAAATAAATGTACAAAGATCGCTTAGCTTGATTACATTAGACAAAACATAAAAAGCAAAGGAGTGTTCTGTGAATATGGACCTGATCTTACTTGAGGGGAAAAGGACACCTGGAGAAGGGTGATCAAAGGCATGTCTACTCTTGGTTTCTTGAGCAGCATCACCTGACCAATAACCTGTAACAGCCTAACCAAGATGACACTGTGGCCCAGGGGCAGCAAGCAATGGAAGGGTTTTCAAAGCACGCAGATAGCATTCGATGTAGGCAATTCATGGGTAAATAATTGCAACTTGATGGGCTTTGAGAAAAATGACATCTGAAAATAACTTATCATAATATAGGAAGCTACAGAAAGAAATTTTAGTAAAGAAAATGACTTACTTCCTTCAATATGAGCCTGGGGGTTCTTATACAGATGTTCAATTCGACCTGTATTGAATGAACTGGATCGCCGCACAATTCCATGGACCTGCATTTTTTATAATGCGGAAAGATAAGAAATTATAAATGTGCAATGAGGATTAATAAGCAACTCAGAGGTTCTTTTGTTAATGCTTACCTTGTGAAAAAATAACTATAACTTATAAGCCTATAACTTATGAACATTATCTTTAAATTATTAAAAATAGTCCCACTGCTTACTTTCTCCCCCACTACTGCCCACCAGCCACCAGCATTGTACCTCCATCTCTCTGCCATGTTTTCACTGCCAATCTCAACAAAAGTAATTAGAGAATTATGTGACTTCACAGCAAATGCTTAGTTACAGATACTCAAATGTCTCCTTTTCCAAACACACACACACTTAGAGCCCTGCTGCTGACAAAATATCTCTTCAGTTTGAAACCGAAGACAGACCATGTGAGGCCATATCGGTAAAACTGCCCTGCAGCCTCTGTAACACAAAGCATGAGGCTGAGAGGCTCTGATGCCACCACATCCTTCCAGTGTCCTCAGAGCTTTGCATCGTGCACCTATTACATATATATATAAATATACCTGCATCCACAAATATAAACAAACAGCAGCTGCTATTATCCAGCTTTGCAGAAAAGAAATAGCATAGATTAGGGACAAGACTTATACTCTACTAGATTTAAGATATCAAGAAAACTCAAATGAAGAAAGGATTTTTTATTTTTTTAATTTTTATCTTTACCTTAACCATTATTAGTATGAGGGGGAAGAAAGTCCTTGGAACAAGAATGCATACCTGTCTGATACCAAAGAAAAGACTATTTGTATCTGACACATAAGAGAAATTGTTCAAGACCTGGTCTCACTTCCTCCTTATGTCAAGATTGCTCCCTTTGTGTTGCCAATGCTAATACAAGCTTATGTCACCAGCTGCCCAAGTTCCAGTTCTACTGGGGGCAGTTTTAATCCTTCACTTATTTTAGAAGTGTTCTTTCAAATGTTGGGCAGTTTCATTTGCAGCTGAATACACTTCTATATTTTAACTCAATCGTTTTCTGTCTGTTTCAAACCGAAATTAATCCTTGGCATGACTCGAATATTCCAAATGCTGGGGGGGGGGGCAGAATTATAAGCACATAAGACTTTCTTTCAAATAGAAAGACATCTCATCGTCATTTTATATGCCATACATGAGAAATTAACTTCTGCAAAGGATACAACACACCCACAATTAATAATTCTTTTGGTTAGCTGCTTTAGCCAAAGAAAAAAGCACTCATCCACACTATTTTCCAAAAGAACTAAGCCCAAGAAAATGTGGTAAAAATGAAAATATTTTTAAGAAGGGAACATCACAAACTTTGTTAACTAAAATTTTAGGAGGCAAACTGTAAAATCTAGGAAATGTTAAATTGAGATTTGAGTATACGTCTCCATTCCTTAATTTAGAAGTGGATAAAATAACACATCAAGCTTAGAATTTATTCTACTTCATGGTCTCCTATTTTTTAAGTTGTTACTTAATTGTAAAGTTGAACTGCTCTACAAACAATAATTTTGTTTAACAAACAATTTTTTGTTTAATAAAAACCAAGTTCACATACTTATATATAGCAAAATTGGTGTTTGCCACCAAGTTATCTCTGAAATATAGCTCTCTTAGATGTAAGTAGAACTTTATTTCATTGGATATAAAGGAATTTCTATGTTCTAAAAACAGATCATTTAATTTTGACAATGAAAATAATAATAATAATATGATTTAGTCTATCTTTTCTCTTAACTGCTGGATTCTGGGTAAGTCACATATTCCAACATCCTGAAAAAAGAGAAACTCCATATACATACACCTTGCATATAAACATTAAAGGCTCTGATAAAAATATTAAATGATATAGATGGATTCAATTAAAATCAGACAACTACACAAAGTCACAGCAAATAAATAACATAGGACTTTTTGTCACACTTATAATGAAAAGCATTAAGCCATAGGTTATTTTAAATATGAAAAAATGTGTTTTAATTTCCCCTCACTCCCAACTTTTGGTATGTGTATACAGGGAAAGAAAGACCTGCCAAATGCTTAATCCATGACAGCAAGTATTATTCTAAGAACTAATGAAAGCTGAGTCTGTCTGCCTCAGAGACAGGTGAAATACAAACTTTAAGACAAGCCAAAATGTGTGCAAACTGGATAATCTAGTTAAGAATTTGAGATTAGCAGCTTTCTCTTTACAGAAGGGATGTATGTAAGGTTATTGTTTGTTTTTATAAGGATTTGGGGGGAAAAAGATGAGTTAGGAAACCAAAGCGAAAAGATAAATGAGCTGAATATGACTCCATGTAAACTTAATCAAAATCACTATTATGTTGTAGCAGTTCAAAAAGAAAATATAATTCTGAAAAACTGAAGTCTTAAACAGAAAGGAGTATTTTGACAAACAAATTTCATGTCCCATTTAACTAAATTGATGAAAAGGAAAATTTCAAGTTCTCTCAACGTCAGAACAAAGTTAGTTTGATTTCAAAACCTAGAGTCAGATTAGGCAATATAACAGAGAAATGCTTGCTCATTTATTTGTTTACTTACTACAATCACGAAAACAGAAAATTGTTACCACTGGACTTCATATCCTTCAGTATCTGTTTGTTTGTTATTTCAATCAAGAAAGAAAATTATTACCACTAGATTTCAAATTCTTCAATGTCTAGATTTCTCTTGGAAGCAAGGATAACTCCCCAGGGATGTTTAATGCCACTTGCCTTTTGAAAAGCACAGATTATAGAGGTAACGTCAATAGCTAACATGTACATGGCAATGACCATATGCCAGACACTGCTCTTCATAGACATTAAATCACCTATCCTCACAACACCCTTCCTTATATTACTCCCATTCTACAGGTGAGGACACTGCCTGAGATCACACAGCCAGTGGAAGTGGTCAAGCTAAACTGCACACATGGTCCATCCTACCAACACTCAGTATGTTTTCAAAATGAAATACATAAAACTTTTGCCTTTTTTCATCAAGGTTTCTAGGGTATTCGACAACCCAGAAAAAATACCTTACAGATTCTCACAGATCATGAATGGATGCATGGGAACCCCATGTTCTAACAAATAATCTCCCAGAGATAACAACTGGACAATCCTTATATGTCATTTCCTTTCTGTTCTCCTTATACTCCCTAGTCATAATTCCTCTCTTAGAAGAAAACCCACAATTTACTTATTCTTTATTTTAAATTCCAATATGCTATGTTGTATTTGTTGCCATGTTATTTAATATTTAATATAAATTTTTCATTTATTCCCAGACATATTTTTGCTTTTAAAAGATTTAAATTTGTCTTTTGTTTTTCTGGTTTCTCTGTGTTTTAGGGTACAAAATGGGTACAAAAGTATGTGTTGTTGTCTTATCTGCTAACAGTGATGCTAGGAAGGCACTCGAAACTTTCATAAGAAGCTTCATTTCTATTAATGTTCCTTTTCCCCTCATGCCCAGAAGGAATGCACACAGGGCTAAGATCCTAGGAAATGTGTAACAGGCCTACCTTTCACTAATGCTAATTAATAAACTGGACTAAGGAGCCTTCTATAAACTCTGTATCCCTAGGCTTGTCAGCATCAAGTACTGGGTCATCTTGTCACTCCTGTATCAACTAAAGCCCCACAAATCCCACAGAACTTCTCTGGACTGTTTTCCATGTACTGTCTCACCTAATCTTCAAGACAACCTTAGGAAACAGGTACATTTATCATCCCCCTTTACCTGAGAAACTAAGTCTCAGAAAGGCCCAATGACCTGCCCAAGGCCACAGAGCCAGCCGGTGGCAAAGGAGGATTAGAACACAGACTGTCCAGCACCTGAGCCTAAGGGTCTCCTTGCCACAGTGAGCTAGATGGCCTCTTTCACTTTTGTTGCTCTGAAGATGGCTGACGGGTGCTTAAGGGAGAATTATCCTATGCATGTCAACAACTGTAGAATTAAATATTTGAAGTTTTAAAGGGCAATTTTTTTAAAAGATTTTATTTATTCATTTGCGTGAGAGAGACACAGAGAGCACAGCAGGGGGAGAGGCAGAGGAAGAAGCATAACTCCCTGCTGAGCCAGGAGCCCAGTGCGGGGCTTGATCTCAGGTTCCTGGGATCATGACCTGAGCCGAAGGCAGACTCTTAACCGACTGAGCCACCCAGGCACCCCTAAAGGGTGATCTTTTTTAATAAAACCTGATAATTCTTAGTTTTCCTCTTCATGAGATGACACTTATATTCTATAAATAATAAGTGTTAGATTCATTCTCTTTGTACTGTCCTTAATGATTAATGTTAAATAAAATTCAAGAAACAAGCAACATTAAAAACTATAACTTTAATCCTTTAGAGTCTCTTCTCAGTGAGAACTGGACCAGGAATAAAGCAAACCTTCACTTTCTCATATTAAATAGTTCATTCAGGGACGCATGGGTGGCTCAGTTGGTTAAGCATCTGCCTTCAGCTCAGGTCATGATCCCAGGGTCCTGGGATGGAGCACCGAGTCGGGCTCCCTGCTCAGCAGGGAATCTGTTTCTCTCTCTCCCTCTGCCCCTCCCCACTGCTCATGCTCTCTGTCTCTCTCTCAAATAAATAAATAAAATCTTTAAAAATAAATAAATAAATAGATAGCTAGCTAGATCATTCAGAACACGACCAGATGCATGGATTTCAGTGGCCGCATTAGAAGGCCCCACAGCTTCAGGAATCTAAGTGTGAGGTCATATAAAGTATTTAACCATAGTAACTAATCAGTCTATTCATACATATGATATTCCTTTTCAAGTAATATGCAAATGTCTATTTTTGCTTTAAAGTTAGCCAAGCTTTTTATACCTTTACTCTGCTTTTTTGACTAAAGAAAAAGTAAAGGAATATATGTAACTATGCTATGCTAATTCTGTAGATAGTGTTTGTCTTTGCCTATGTGGCCACCTCATCACTACCCCACCAACCTATCTCTGCTCTTCAATTTGCCCCCCTCCAGCTGACTACTGCTTGTCCATAGAGTCCATGCCTCCCCACCTTCACAATGAAAGGCTGACTTTGCCATTGCTAGACAATTAAAGTTTGCCCCTTTCTGTTCTAGGAAGAACTCAGCCTCATTATCAAGCCTATTCATAGAATCTGTAGCTCTTCTTCCCAGTGTTTATTTGTTCCTGGTTTGTACTCTGCTACCCCAAAGTATATTGTTTCCAGTTATTTCTTAGCCTAGTGATATTCCTTATACAAAGACTAAATCCAAAATAGTGTAAGAGCTCAGAGAAGGAAAACCCCACCAATTAAGGTACCTTAAAAAATTCTGTTCATCTTCACCTTATGATTAAATGATCTCATTTGAACCTATAGTTGTACTGGCTCTCAAACTGTAAGGACCCAGGAGAGTGGCATCAGCAACAATTGGGGGCTTATTAGAAAGGCTGATTCCCAGACCCCAGAACCAGCCATCCTCACCTTTATGGGGCCTCTGGGTGGCTCTGATGCACACTGCAGGTTGAGAACCTGCTGAGTTGCTGATGTTGACCCTCTGGATTCAGGTACAGAAAGGTGTCTCCTCTTACCCTACTGAATGCAATTTACTAACCCTATTATCTTCCTCATGGTCTTGAGCAACCAGGGACTGCTGGCTGATAATTCTGGAAAATTGCCAATATAGCCTCTTCGAAAAATTTACTTCAACCCAAGCTCAAAAAAGATGAAGTCCGTGCCACCATTATATTTCCCTTAATAGCTTATCCTCCAATTACAGCCATCTCTTAAAATGGAAGACAGCAACCTATTAAAATTGAATACAATATGGATAAACACGTTTTCACTCCCCTATTCCTACAAAGCTCATATTTCCTCTGGACTATGAGAAGGAATTATTTCTGATTATGCTTTGTAGTTCTATACCTTCCTCCTGTATTGTCTATATTATCTCCTTCTATCAATTTATGGATCTCACTCCTAAACCTCTCTTCTCTTGCCAATCATTGTTTCAATGATTCATTTCTCCCATTAACTGTGATTTGCCAAGTGGGCCTTCTATTGTCTTTATCAGAATCAAATCCGCTTTTATGATTTCGAATGCCAATGGAACAAAAACATTTGTAGCTCACCTGGCAGTCCTAGGTTCTCATTACATTTATTTCTAAGTCTGTCATCCATTTGGGAACATTACTACCCATCTTCTGAAGTCTGCTAGTTCCTTAACAAGCCACCTAAGTGGAGCTTTGAATGTCTCTGTGCATGCCTTCTTCCTAGCCATTTCCAGTAACACTAAGAGCACCATCATGTTGACTGAGACTATTCACTGTCTACCATATAGACCTTAACCCTAGGCCCTATCACTAGTCCACCACATTATCACAGTGACTACTCCACCTCATACCACCATACCTGCTCCGTTTTCCTCTGGACTAGCTGCAGATACTTGTTGCCACAATCCTCATCTCATGTCTTAGTCCCCCATGTCCTCCTTGAAAGTAAATTTCAACATCCACGCAGTTTAAGCACTCTTTCTGACATACCACCTCACTCTTCAAAACTGCAATGACCATGATGGGGTTCAGGACATCCTACCCCAAAATATGGCACCTTGGTTTATGGAATATTTTAAGCTGAAGGAATTTGACAAAACAGTAGAACCAGGGAAGTCGCTCTAACTTTCCCCCTGCTCTTCTCCCTTAAAATAGTCATGAAACGCTCCAGTGAGAAGTGCCCTCCACCATAACTGGAAAAAAGGAACATCCTTATCTCTGAAGACAAGGGGATGTCAAAAAGAATCCAAACAAACAGATCTTGTTACGTTTCCCATACTTACCTCATACTCCTTGACCTGTCATATTTCTCCAAGACCATCAATTCTCCATCGAACCTAACATAAAAATACTTAGCCTTGGGGCGCCTGGGTGGCTCAGTTGGTTAAGCGACTGCCTTCGGCTCAGGTCATGATCCTGGAGTCCCGGGATCGAGTCCCGCATCGGGCTCCCTGCTCAGCAAGGGGTCTACTTCTCCCTCTGACCCTCCTCCCTCTCATGCTCTCTGTCTCTCATTCTCTCTCAAATAAAAAAAAAAAAAAAAAAATACTTAGCCTTAACGGTTTCTTTGGATCTTCATTTCCTTACAAAGGTTCCCAGTCACATAAAACTTATATTAAATAAACTTGTATGCTTTTCAGTTTAATTTTCAGACCCAGCCGGGGGCCCTAAGAGGGTTGAGGAAAACTATTTTCCTCCTCCACATTAAACCAACAAAGATTAACAGGAGAAATTTCTATGGTTTTCTCAAACTCCTTCTATTTTCTCAAACTCCTTCAGCTTAAAATATCCAATATGCTAAAGTACCACATCTTGGGGTGGCACATCCTGAACCCCATCAGTTCTTACTAAGTTCCTTCTCTAGGTTCACATGATACACAGCCAAATCACTAACTCCTCTCTAGCTACCAAACACCTCTCAGCCAGTGCCAACACCTGAAACAAAGTAATTTATCTGCCAATCCTTCCCTTTTAGATTTATTGAAGCACTAAATTAATGTAGTCTGAATAAATTATCAGTCTTTATCTAAAACCAACTCTTCTGTACTATATATGATCTACTCTAAAATTCTCTGCTCTGCAGAATATGAATGTATCACTCAATTATAGGAATCTGTATATGAACATAAGTGTACATGTATACTTTCATAATTAATTTGTCTTATTTTCATATTTTTGCAAGATATAAAACTAGCTGGTTAGGTAAGGGAACAGAAGGTGCTAAACATATCTCCTATTACTTCTTAAAGTCTAAAAGTCAAGGCTCTCAGAAAAGATTATGAGTTATAGTAAGAAAATTCGTTTCCTTTTCTTCAAATCCTGTTGGCGTTTAGATGCCAAATTCCTTGCTGTTGTTTTTCCATCTGCCCACAGTGCACATTTTTTTTTAAACAGTACACCTGCAAACAGAATAATCCAGAGAATCCAAATTTATTAATGTAAACATCCCAAATCAGGCCAGAGCATATGGGTCACTGTATAGGTTTTTGTTTTCTGTACAGCATGAACTTATAGACAGAAAACTGTTCTTAAAAAAGGTAATATGTACACATGAAATTACATCAAACTTAATATGTAAAACCGTTTCCTTTAAGGAAAGCAGAAAATGTTTGAGGAGAGGACAAAAGAGGAGAAAAAGAAGACGACAACGATGATGACACCAGCAGCAAACCCAGAAGTTTCAGCTTCCATAAAATATATGGCTGCCTATTAGAATGAAAAAAACCTCTGAGTGTAAATGTTTCATTCAAGCTTGCCAAAGATCAGCTTAGTTTTTATTGCTCTGTGCAATTTCCGAATTAAGTGACTTCACTGTGAGTGGAACTTTTTTATGTAACACATTACATCATAAATTAACCCTAATAATGTTATAGCTTTTAGCTTACCCAGGCTGCTTTATCTGAGAATGTGGGAAGCGTGCAAAGCAGTTAAACACTAAGGAACAGGGGGAAGCCACCAGTGCTCACCAGCAGATAAATAGCACAATGAGCTGGCATGGTTACAAGCCAAGCGGCACATTCTTCCCCTGATTTTGATTTGTTATCAGAGTTTCAGTGGAAAACACACACAGGAGGACGGCGGCAGAGGAAGCAGGAGGCCACTGTGTCCAAGTGATTCCACCAGCCTGTGCTTGCTCACTGAGTCACTCACCTCGTAGCCTTTCTCCAGCAGGAACTCAGCCAAGTATGAACCATCCTGGGAAGAGAAGGAAAATTGACAATTGTCAGACCCATCACGGCTAGCGTAGAAGGCAGCCAAGGCTGAGAGCTTTGAGAAATGCACTGAAGGGGCTACATGAACTTAAATTAAGGATCATGGCAACCAGAATAAAAATAATACAGCTAATGATGGTAAAAACAGAACAGTATTCCTCTTTCCACTGTTCACTAAGCATTTTCATAGACACTATTTCACTTGAGCACCACAGAAGCACGGCAAAGTGTTATCATTGATTAATTTACTGGGTAAGAAACAAAATCCAGGGACATAATATGGGGCAACAGAGAGAACATGACACTTCGACAGATGTGGGTTTAGTTAGGTTTGGCCACTTACTAGCTGTGTGAAATATGCAAAATATGTGTAGCAAAGCAGAAGGCCTTGGTACTACAGGAACAAAAAACAGGAATCAGACTAATTCTGGGTGGTTGTGAAAGAGGTGAAGGAATGAGATGGGAGCTGTGAGGACTTGGGGAGAACACAGGTGAGTGTAAGGAGGACGCAGGGAACACCAGAGCGTTATCAACATCACTAAAAAAAAGACACTATGGCAGAGAGGAGGTAGGTGAGCGCCTTTGTGGGGGAAGACCTTCTAGGCACTGGTGGGAGTTGGCTTCTAACTCAAGGGTTCTGGAAAGTCACCAAAAAAAGAGTTTTGGGGGTTGGGTGCTAAACACAATCAGATTTGTATTATTATCACTGAATATATATGCATAACACACACACTCATAAACTTTAAATACAAGAAGGATATTTATTTTTTGTAAAGTAGGAAGGATGCATCTTTTTTTCAAATATTTTATTTATTTGAAAGCAAGAGAAAGCAGGGTGAAGGGCAGAGAGAGAAGCAGACTCCCTGCTGAGCAGGGAGCCTGATGTGGGACTTGATCATGGGACTCCGGAATCATGACCTGAGGCGAAGGCAGACGCTTAACCAACTGAGCCACCCAGGTGCCCCAGGAGGATGCATCTTAAATTGTGCAGTTATTCCCTACATTAAGATGAAGGTATCTGACTAAACACAGATTCTCAACTGGCTTTTAATAACTCTCCTAAAAATTTCTAAGGTGCCTGGGTGGCTCAGTCGTTAAGCATCTGCCTTCAGTTCAGGTCATGATCCCAGTGTCCTGGGATCGAGCCCCACATCGGGCTCCCTGCTCAGCGGGAAGCCTGCTTCTCCCTCTCCCAAGCCTGCTTGTGTTCCTGCTCTCGATGTCTCTTTATCAAATAAATAAATAAAATCTTAAAAAAAAAATTCTACATAAGGGGGAATGCTATTTAAACTAAAATATTTCATGTGCCACTTTTAGGGAAAGAAAGTATGAGAGTCATCTAATAAAACTATTAAGAGGCCAAAAGGCGAGAAATCACTGTTCTAGAGGTACTATAAAAGCTATCAGCCTTGCTCAAAATATGAATCGGGTAGACATTTTGCAATCAATCCTGTTAACTGCCCACCTGTTTTTAGCCCGGGTCGGTCCCCTCCATCCCATCCAGACTTAAACATAAAAATGGGAGGCTCCAACTACTGGAAATTTATGTATTCAAAAGTAGCTAGGACTATTTGGGAGTATTTGGGCTTTCTTTGGTTTCCTCAGTTTGAAAAAGTTTAAAATATCCCTCTGAGTTTCAAAAGATCCTACCAGATATTCCAGGAAAAAGAAAAATGAAACAAGCCTTATTATTGTCACTAGTTACTTAAAGCTGGAAATGGAGACACCCTATGGGTCCTAAAAATGACAGGGCTGCCAAGAGAGTGTTTACTACATTAATGCAGAAGTCACACATAAATTCAGGCAGGATGACAAGGCAAGGTATACAAGGGACACATTTTGTGGTTCATTAAAACCTCCAACAGATTTTCTTCTGACTTCTTGACATAAATATTCTGGTTTATAGACTCATGTAGAGAAGAAGAGAAATGGTTTGGCATATTCCTTTTCCTCTCCATCTTATGATATACACACAATTGCATGGTTTTAAAATACCCAACATGCAAACTAAATCAGATAAGAGGGCTGAGCAATTCAGACTAGGACAGGGCAGGTCAGTCTACATGACCATCGGAAATGTGAGAATAATGGGTAGTCTTATAAATCAATCAGTGAGAAAGCAGCTTAATAGAAAAAGTATTTACAATCAGAAGAATAATTTTACAGTAGTTTGGAAAGCCCTAGAATGTATCAAGTTTTGTTTTATTGTTGGTATTAGTGTTGTCATTTTGAAGCAGGCAACACCATACTTTTCATGTTTCATAATTTCTCTTGGAATAAAAAGTTAAAATGCTTTATGTTCTACCATGGCTGCATACAATGTTTAAAAAAAAAAAAAAAAGGCAGAGGTGAAAGTGCTAGAGATCCATGGGGGCAGGGAAAGCTGTGATTATTCAGAAAGCTGATGTGAAACAGACCTGACCAGGCCTGAACCCTGTCAATAAGGTCTTGTTCTTCTCACCCAGGGCCCTTCTCAAACTTTCCAACCACACTGGAACATTCTGAACCAGCAGGGCACTCACTTCCTCCTGACTTCCTTGCCAGGTCTCTCAAGTGATAGGGCCTGAGCTGCACAATGAGTGGGAAATGGAGCAGAGCGAAGGCTCCTGGTCTCTGGCCTAGGAGCCCAGCTGGCCTCCCCTTGTCCTCTCCCTGAGCCCCTGAGGGGACCCCACAGGGAGACACAGTATCTAAGCAGACAGGCGTCAGCCAAGCTAACAAGATCATTGTTTCTGCCTCCTCTAGAAGAACAGGGTTGTTGGAGAAAGCTTCAATCAAGACTAATAACTGAAATGTCATGGCAACTGAGAACCTACAACTGACATTAAAAATTCTGATACTTAATTCCTCGGAAAACAAGGAACTAAATGAACTTAGATTTCCAACTCATTTGTTATGAACACAATTAATCTGGTACAAATTCCAGCCTGGGTTCAATCCTTGTTACAGAAAACTTTTAACTGAGGAGATAATGTCCCAATTGTGACTCTTCAATTTAATCTTGTACAGGGTTATTAAGGGTATCCATTTCATATTAAATGCTGTGCAGATTTAAGGAATCACCATGGCTGTAACATTTTCTATCTTATTCTTGCAAGAACTCGGCCCGGAAGGCAAGGAGCCACTGGCATCTGAGGTCAACAAGGCACATGACAGTAACCAATTTGCATAGTATCACACTACAGGGGCAAAGCCAGAACTGGAATCCAAGTTGCGCATTATTCTGACCTAGAAAACAACCTCCTTCCTCACTCTCCTCTACCTGGGACCTACCAAAACATGTCAAAACCCAACAAAATAATAAAACACCAAAACAGATTTCATTTTTAAACCAAATTGACTTAGTCATTTCCCATTACGGAGTGTTTTGTGGATTAATCAGTGCTTCTAGTTTTAATTAAGTGACATCATGTAATTTTAGAACACTCCAGAGCTCAGAGGAAGGAGACAGTACACAGCACCTGAGATTCCTCAGGTCGTGTTTGGGCCCTAGTCAGGAAGCAGTACAGTATTGTCTGAAGGTGGACTTGGACTGACTGTGGATGTATTATTTGGGGGCTCTAGAGCCAAGGAGGGCACTACCCAAGGACCAAAAGTGCCAGATTTAGGTATGCCGATGCCTACAGTCCCTATATTTTGGTATCTCTATTTTTCACCTTCCATGGAATACTCAGAAATGTTCTAGAGCAACACCCATAAAAATAAAGAATAATTCCAAAAATTAGTTCAATCATATCTTGACTATAGTATTAGAATTACTTAAAATTACACATCCATAAAAAGCTGAAGGAAGTACAGAAAGTTTACCCCTCTCCTGATGACCACAGAAGGCTATATTAAGCACTGACTGATCCTCTATCCCACATCCAAATACGTATGTGCCAGGCAGTCTACCTTCCTGCAGAGGAGACTAGCATTTCTCTTCTCCCTTCAAACATGGATGCACTTACAGCCCAGAAGGACAAACGAAAAGGACACTTTCTTATATGCAATTTGAGAACCCGGCTCCTCTGAAATGCATGCTAAATTATACTGTGTGTTTCTGCCTAAGCACCATTTGGCAGCTTCTTTGAACACCGTATAAGATAAGCAGTATTGGGCTAAAGAAATCATGCCACTAATAAATGAGTTTCTTTGTTTAGATCATCTCAAGCATCAGGAAATAGAATGTCCCTCCTGTAAGGAGAGAAAGCACCAATTTACACTGCCCTTTATGTTCTATAATTCTACGAATTCTAATTACTCTAAAATAAGCATCTTTTCACCTAATAGCAATTACAGTATCAAAGTAATCTGTACCTCCCCATGAGAGAAATGCAAACACCTCAATGACTAACAGAGAATGCAGTTCTGAATTAGAATGAAAACTTCCAATGGGAAGACTGGCAACGTAGTGTGAAGAATACAGAAGCAGAATATATTTGAAAAGTATTTTCACCTGGCTCATGTTTGTAACACAAAACACTACATAAAATCTTTTTTAAACTCACAGAATTCAAAAGACCATAGGGATTAATTAATCCAAACCTCTCATTTTACAGATCAGGAAACTGAGATTTAAAACAGTTAAATGTTTAGTGTACAGTCACACAGTTTGGAAGTAGCAGAATCTGCTCTCCCCCTCAAAAAAAGTCTTCAGACTCCCAGACCTCAGAATTTTTCACTATAAAATACTGCAAAAAAAAAAATCCAAGATGAAGAGACTGGACTAATGTCTACAGTTGACACACTAATGCATTATACCAAGTGAAGAACAAGAATACAGCCAACAATTATCAGTGGAGTGAAAACTAGCTGACCAAGTGGTAGACAGGAAACCAAGATATCATCAATAATTTATATATAAATTTATTTATTTATTTATATAAATAATTTCCAATTCCTGTAGTCTTTTAAAGTTAACAATTATTTCCCCATAAAAGCTGCTCTCGCGGAAAAACAGACTTTCACTTACTTTGATTTACTTCCTGGTAGAGAGGAGCA